CCCCTTCCGGGTCAGTCCACAACCGCTTCCGGAATTTGAAGTGGCCTCCCTTCAAAAATTATTGCCCTCCCATGGCCTAGAGCCTTGCTGGGCTCTAATTGGAAGGATAATGAAGAAGCCAAATCTAGTTTCATTTTGACTTTAAAAAAAATGCATGGGTTTCAATGCAAGTGATAATGAGGTAATTGAGAACAGAGTCAAAGGGATGGGATTAACATGATGACAAAACAATAATCGGTTTACCTTTTAGCAGTATTTTAGCCATATTTTCTTGTTTTATATGTCTTTTTTTTTTTCATCTGGAACGGGAGAAAAGCTTATTGTGTTATTGTTGACATACAAACTCAATTGGGAGTACAGCTAGTAAAAGGATTCTATCCAATCAGAGCATCTTGCATAATCACAGTACAATTATTGAAGATGTACTATTCAGCAATTATGCAAGTTTTCCTGTCTGCTTATGGCTATTGGAGGAATTTTCACATTGTGCAGATATTAAGAAATAATTATACAGTAATTACGCAAATCACATTTCCAGAATGGATTAGATTACTGGGAACTATACAACTGTCAGAAATTAGTGCTGTTTCCGTTAACTGAAGAGTGACCCTGCATTGTGCCTAAGACATTGCATTTCACTAAAAATTTGTTAGCATTTTTGCAGCTCACTGCACCATAGACTTGAACTGTTACAAAATAGTTTATCTGCATCTACTATACGTATATTCCATAAACATGCATGTAGGATTGCTTTGTGAGAAACTAGAGATGTGCTAAATATATTTATCAGACATATCATGAATGTGCCTAACCTATGTGCTCTAATGAGCCCAGGCCTTATTCTAACCTTCCAAATCCCTGAGTTGATTTAAATTGCCAGGTTTTTATTCAGCCTTCCAGAGAAGTATTTCTTCCTCCACTCAACTGTGATGCTTCTTTCAGAATTGCACCTGTATGTGACCTGATCTGGTAGGATTCAGAGCTGGGATAGGAACAACTGCTGTAGACGTTAAAATGTGATCCCCTTAAAGTTCTTGAGCTGCTCCAGGGCTAGACTTGAGAATCTTATACCCTTTGGAAATGGGAGATTCTTGGCTTTCCTGTGGGACATAGCACTTACTTCAGGTTCCATAAAGTCACGAGATATTGGAGGTTTTCTGCTTTGGAACAAAATACAGGACTATGTAGCATTTTAAAGACTAACAAGATGATTTATTAGATGATGAGCTTTCGTGGGCCAGACCCACTTCCTCAAATCTGAGCAAGTGGGTCTGACCCATGAAAGCTCATCACCTAATAAACCATCTTGTTAGTCTTTAAAGTGCTACATAGTCCTGTATTTTGTTTCAGCTACGCCAGACTAACACGGCTACATTTCTATCACTATTCTGCTTTGGGTTATTTGTAGAGGTGTCTTGGTATCAATTTTGAATTTCTCTGCCTCTGAGACTTACCCAGTTGTACTCATTGTAACTGTGGCTCCTGGTTTTCCAGTGAAAGGGTTATGAGTGAAAGTCAAAATAAAACTGCTTAGGAACCTTTTACAGGTGTTTAAAAGTTTTCTCCTTAACACATGGCATATCCAAAAGATGAAGGAGTGCTGTGTTATAAAGATTTTCTATAACACTTGGTTGAATTGACTTGTGTATATCACTTGTGAGTTCACTGCTCCTGAATAATGAAATTGTAAGTGTTTCTGCGATTTTCCTGGCTGCTGCTATTAAATTAAAGCATGCTGAGTAATAATGGAGGAGGGGAAGCTTAGGGAAAACATAGTGAAATAAAGTAGAGTATCTATTGTCCATGAAGTATTTATTGTCCAAGCAGACAGTTGTGTTTTAAAGTCCTAAATAAGGGACAGAAAAAACCAAGTTTTTAAAATTTCACATGGATATTTTTATTTAAAATAAATTTAATTTAAATTATCTGTTTTAAAAATTAAAATGGGAATCTTTATTAAGGCCTAAACTTACTTTAACTAAATTTAAATAATTAAGCACTTCATATATGTTGCTGAAGTTTTAAAAGAAAGTCAAAACACTGAACTGGTGGAAGTCACTATTTAGGCTCCCGCAACAATTTGTTGGAATGCCTAATCAACTTTTGACAGCAGTAACCTTTTTTTCAGGTGCAAAGAATGTTTTCTTTATTTCGTTTTTTCAACTAATATAATTTAAAGAATAGCCTGACTGAGAGTTGGAAAAACAAGGAGCACTTGGGGGTTTTTTCCTTCCAGTTTCTAAATAAAAATGAGGTGTGAGGATGAGATCTTGGGGAAAACAAAATCTTTCAAGACACAGTGACCAGAAACAGTCCGCTCCATGTACTAACTAAAGATACTTCCTTTGTCTAATTAACCAGTTAATTTTGCATACAAAACTTGTTTAGAGTACCAATTTTTCGTAAGTATATGGAACATTGAAGGTAGTTCTGTTTAACTGATACCTTTTTTTAGTGTTTTCATGCAGTTAAATAAATTCCAGTTTGCATTCAAATGCATCTTGACATAAATCACTAACAAAAATGAATCATCTAGTAATTAATAACAAGTGATGCAAACTTATATGTTGATCTTCTTTCCGGTGTATAAATTCACTGTTTTCTAACAAAAATATGTAAAGAATTAAGAATAAATATGTTAAACTACATAACTGCTTAAATAAATGCATATAGCTGTAGTGTATCATCCTAGTTAGCAAAATGTACCAGATTTAGTGTAAAATCTATATAATTGCACATGAACATGCTTTTGTAACCAGTTAGAATAAACCCCTTTTCTTCGCACAGCTACCTATACACATGGCAACATTCATAGGACTCAATTTATTTCCTTTGGAAACAAACTAATTTAGGGATGTAATAGTGTAGTCAATTAACCAATTAACTGATAAGCAAAAGCTTATAGGTTAATGCTATAGATTACATGCATTCACACCCTCTCCCCAGTCAGTACATTTTTTAGCAGGCTGGCCAGCAGCCCAGCTCCGTTCTGGCTTGCACTGGGTCTGGGACCTACCCCTGCTGCGGCTCTGCATCTAAAGTGTATTAGGAACCAGGCGGGCAGGCAGCCCAGCTTGGTTGTGGCTAGTGCCAAGTCTTGGAGCTCAGGTCCCCTTCCCCTTGGACAGGGGTTACTGCTCTCCCTCGCTGCTGCCTCTGTATCAGAGTCAGCAGCGCAGGGTGACAGGCAGCCAGTCTGCAAGGAGAGCTGGGTTTTTAAACTGGCTTCCCTTGCAGTCCAGCTCCTGACTAGTCAATTAACTGATATTTAACATCCCTAAACCAGTTAAGTCTTTTAGGCCAAAGCGTCCAAATTAGAAGCCCTAGATTGTTTTTGAATCCACAATCAACTAATTTAAACTGCTGTCTAGCTTTATAAGCTGTCAATTATTGTCAGAACAATGAATCCTTTGAATTTAACTTTACAGGCAGTCCCCGGGATACGTACAAGATAGGGACTGTAGGTTTGTACTTAAGTTGAATTTGTACTTAAGTCGGAACTGGCGTCCAGATTCAGCCGCTGCTGAAACTGACCAGCGGCTGACTACAGGAAGCCCGAGGCAGAGTTTCTCTGCCCTGGGCTTCCTGGAATCAGCCACTGATCAATTTCAACAGCAGCTGAATCTGGACGCCTGGGACAGAGCAGCTGGGGGGGCGCCCGGGAGGGCCTCCCCGCGCCGCACCCCGGG